ATCTATCTATCTATCTATCTATCTATCTATCTATCTATCTATCTATCTATCTATCTATCTATCTATCTATCTATCTATCTATCTATCTATCTATATTCAAATTATAAATGGAAAATTAGGTACTTGGTCTTGGACTTTTCTGTGACGATATGAGCATTAAGAGCTCCAAACCTCGACAAGATTGTTCAGTTTTGAAATATCTGAGGCTTACTTTGTATTGAGCCTACAAAGTATAGAAGTAAAGAGAGCTGGAGTCTAATACGAACAAAAAAAAAATGACTCACTTAGGTTCCATTTGAGTCCCGTGGTGACTGTTTGGCAGGGTCCACCTACTGGAATGAGGCCACACCAGTCCCCCTCCAGACCCGTGTTCACTCCCAGCCTGTGGTTGCCCTGCTGGCACGCAAACATGAATCACATAAATTATTGTTTATACATTAAAGCAAAGTCAGGAATAAAAAGAGAATACAAAATACGGAGCAAGACTTCTTAAACCTTTTCAAACCAGATTGAAAACCACAGTTTCTCAACAAGGAGACTGGCTCATTAAAATATATTATAATCCTCGTCAAAGCTTTAGCCCACTTTCACTGCATCAATTTGAATTTTACTCTACTGTGCTGCCTGTCACAGAAAGTCAAAATAGTTGCAAGCAGTTTTGAACTTGATAAACACTACCATTAAACAAATACATCGAGTACAATTGACTGTTAATTCTTTAACTCATTCATATTTATGTATGTTTTATTTTGGGTTGCTTCATCCATGCTTCAGCTGTTCCAGCACAGAGGTTTCCACGACTTAACCTAACTCAGGTACCACGTTTTATCATTTAAATCAGCAACTCCACTGACAAGTTTCACTCCTGAAAAGGTCAGAAGCAAACAAGCTTGCAGTTTAGAGGCTGTGTGTTGGACTGATTTATAGCTCGGATTGGGCTGATGCAGCGTTGTGCATCGTGTTCTCCCAAAACACAGGGACTCAGGTTCTCTCAAATATCTTCTGAGTTGGGGTTACCATTTGCATAAATACTTGTCTGAGACTTAATAAGGCAGATCACAAGAGATAAACAAACATAGCTGGTGAACTCTGTGTCTCCTCGTTCTTTGAGACTCAAATTAAGTAAATTTAGCACCACCTTGGGATGTAGACTGATTAAAACATCCTCTTGTTGCACAGGGACCCCAAAACAAAAAAAGAGTACAGTCCCACAAGCATTTCTACACATAATTTAATAAACTAATATGAGAATTATGCAAAGCTCAAAGCCAGATATAGAAAAATCATGACTTTGTCATATTTCCTAGAGATGGCATAATTATACGTTGACACCATATTTAGAGAAAAAAAAAACCGTGCAACTTGAGCCACTTCAAAAGCTTGTCTTTAAAACAAACACGCAGATATAAGTGGTCCAAGCCACTTATTCTGATGCCACAATCTTCACACCATGCCTGGAAGAGAACTTTCATCAGCACATGGGGAGGAGAATTTGATAGGGAGGATGGGCAGTCTTGTTGGGACGTTTAATGGAGGGGCAAGTAAAATATGGCCTACAAAACACTGGGGGAAACACTGTTATTGTTTATTTATACAGTGACAAGTGTTAAATATATAGTTTAGCCTAACTAGCAATGCACATCCCCAAATCACATATTTTGTTTTATGTGTGTTAATGTGAGCATAGAACGTGAACTTCACGTTTAATAATTGTCCAATTAACTTTTGACTCCAACTGATTGTCTTGTTAACTTCTGAAGCAAAGCACAAAAGAAAATGTGATCGTATGAAATGCAACTTGGGAGGTCAGTCGGTAAAAGTTGTAAACACCTCAATTACAGATGTTACTTGAACAAATAGAATTGGGCCGTTCGAAGGTTGAGCTCACCTTCGTGTAAAAACGTGTGTTCACCAGCCGCTGGTGAGTTGTGTCTCTGTTGACAAACGAGCCCAATTTCTTGCTGAATTAAGATTAATTGGAGGTGTTGAGGTATGAAACAGCAAATGACAACAAAGCTTTGAATAATGACGAGAAGTATCAAGAGAGTTTTTAAAAAAGAGAAGTTTCCTCAGTGTTTCATGGCATCATCCGTAGGTGGTGACAGTTTGTCTCAAAAACCTCTCTTGAAAGGAAAAAAACAACAAAGCGTAAAGGCTGAGGGGTATGGAGGGGATGCACGGTCTACTTGTAAACTCAATCAGAGGAGAAGCCTGAGAAAGGGGCTGGCGTTGGGAGAAAAAAAAATCAACAACTTGGGAGCATCAAGAGCGTCTCCTGCTCTCACATTCACAACAGCAAATTGGGACATCATAAGAGCATAGAAGTGTGTATGTGACTGAGAGTGTGTTTGTGTTCTTGGCATGATTACTTAACCCAAAAGGGAAAAAAAGCATTCAGCACTCCAATCAAGGTGGAAGCAGAGCAAGAAAAACCATTTGTGAACAAGAACAGAAAATGAGGAGAATGACTGGAAGACGGATGATTAGGGAGTTGTTAAAGCACAATGCCAGCCTGGTGTGAAGAAAATACATTCTGCCTACATGTGGAGTGTTTATATGCAAGGAAGATAAACCTGCAGTAAGACCATTTTATTTTTTTTATGAAAAATGAATTCTTTGGAAACTTACATTTAGAAAAAGAAATTTAAGAGGATTCTAAATGTATACCTTATCATAGCCCGCAACTTTAAGGTTTAAATTTACATTTGACTATGTACGTAAAACAAAACTATATTTTTATCAATAGGGAAAGACAAACAAACACCAATAAATAACAGCTAGATTCAAGTCTAATTGGCTGGCTATGCAAGTAGGAATAGGAGCAAGTACTTTCGAAGTTTGTTCAATTCTAGAGAAAAACTTTGGGTTTAATGCAGAAGAACAATTTACTCACGGGTCTCAGTAAATATGCCAAGCTTTCCCCCTGAATTATTATGACGGCCAGTTGTGTCATGGATAAAGCGTGGAAAAGGGTCTCAACAGAAGCCATGATCTGGTCAAATCTGCCTGCCAGACCACCAAGTGTCACAATAGTATCCACCTGTAGACACAACACAGAGAATACCATACAGTGCTACAATTATCTGGCAAGGTGTTTCACCTGATGTGTAATGAACATTTGGAGAAATGAAAGGTGTGTTTCCACACAAAAATAACTAAGAGATTCATACAAGGGACTGCTGATGGAAGTCTCTTTCTGAGTGCAACATGCAAAGACATCATCAAAAGATGGAGAACAGACTGTGACTAATACCTGCAGAATTCTGTGTTTCAATGCAATTTATACTGTGTAAAATTGTGTAGGAATCTTTTGGAAAAGTGTGACCGATAAACCAGATATGATTTAGGCACCAGCCCCCTTGTGAGCCTGCGCAGAAAACCAGGTAAAAAACTAGATACCGCATAGCGGTAACATAATGACCCTCGCACGGCAGTGGGGGGTCTTTTTATTTTATTTATTAATTTTTTTAGGGGGGAGGGGGGCATTGGTTGACCTGATGGATTGACCCTCATCAGAGCTAAACAACTAACAAAAATCTGAAGCTCCTATGTTTAATAGTTTTTGAGCTATAACCATTTTTGTATGTCCAGATACCCTTTTTTCAGATAAATTGGGGGTCCGGGGGTGTGGGGGCACTGATTGGTGGGCCTGATGGATAGCCCTTCATCAAAAAGGCTATTAGGTCAGTTAAGTCCTAAAACAATCACAGTAAGGCCAACAAGCTTGAACAAATAAAACAAAGAAGGTAATCAAAGATCAAATAATGAACAAAAATAGGGCTACGGCCATGCGTTTTTCTAGTTTCAAAGGTGAACATAAATAAGTTAAGGTGGGTGGATATCTTAAAATGCAACTATTTTCTGCAACTTCAGAACCAAAATAAGGTTAATTTAAATGTTGTTACAATATTTACACTTCTCAGCAGTTCTATCCTTGTACTAAGTCCCAAATCAGTCAGCACCAGTGCTGACAGCATTAAAACCCAACAGAGTCTACAGGGCAAAAGAGCCRTCACAGGCTGATGACTGCCACTCACACAAGAACAGAACATGAACCGAGTTCCATCAATCACCTAAACTTTGGTGTTTTTCCTTTTTTATTACCCTTGTAAATGTTCAGGGACATTATTTGAGTTGCAAAAGAAACTGAGTATGTATTTACAGCCAGTAAGACATAACCAATAACAGCTTTCTTTTTTTTCTACATACACTGTACTACAAGAAAACATTTGGCATGTTCTTGCAACAGTACTGAAATGACCTGGTCAAAGAGCATCACAATCAGCAAATCCATCTATGAAAGAAAACAAAACTCCATCCTGCTTAGTTGCTGATTTCTTTGGTCTGCATCAAACACATTCCTTCTCAAACAATCCCCTCTTTGTCTGCAGATCATGTTTCTTCTAAATGACCAGGTCTTTCACTCGCTGCTGTTTAGCTCCAATATTTTTGAAAAGTAGAAGCTTTTCACAAGCATGTCACCCATTCATAATAAATCTGAACTCTCCTTGTAGATACAGGCAGTTTGACACCAAAACTCGCATTACATCCAGACTGTGTGATGAAAGTTAACGATTCTTTGAAACTTCTTCTTTCAGACAGTCTGCGCTTGATCTTTTTATACTCTTTGCCAAACTTGCAGGCATCCACAAAATTTCTTTTTTTTCYCTTTTAGCCTTGAAGACTTTTTTAGATCTTGCTATGATGACACAATATTCTTAAACAGAAAAAAAAGATTTGGTATTGAACTTGTCACCAAGACAGACTGCAATCAGTTGCAACTAATATGGAACATTTAGCTTACACGTATCATCATCATAATTACTGAATTTGACTATAATAATTCATTGAGGTAAATATTTTTAATCAAGACAATTTTTAATGAATTTTTATTTTTAATTTCCTAAACATTTCCACTGAAATAACTGTTCTTCATGTCACAAGTATGACTAATATACAGTTGATGTACACAGGAAGTAAAATTAATTTGTTTGCCACAATTTTAAAAGCACCATAGAGGATAAGGGGGAGTCTGCTTCAGTTATGGAAGATTTTAAAGACTGACAGAGTCTCCCCAGACGCCCAAACCACCTCAAATGATGCAAAGGAACAGCAACTCTACTCCGTGCTCCTCTCGGATGACAGAACTCTTTATCCTATCTCTAAGGCTAAACCTGATCAACATATAGGAAACTCATTTTGACCGCTTTTATCCTGGATCTTGTTTCTTCCGACATGAGCCATCCTTCATGATGCTAACTGTAAATCAAGAGCTTTGCCTTTCAGCTCAATGCAAACTGACCAAGGCAACACCCTCACTACTGGGGATTAAGCCCTGCCTGATCCATCCATTCATCACTTGAGAGCAAGATGCCCAGATACCAGAATTCCTCTACCTGCTAACTTGAAGTACTTGCATACACTAGAGTATCATCTCAATGCTGTACCAACCTTTAGAGGTTTTTAAGGCATGTCCCAAAGGAAAGAGGCCCTGGGGCAGACCAAGAACTCACTGGTGGGACTGTGTATCTTCTGTGGTCTGGGTCTTGGTTTCTCTCCTGGACCTGTTTCCTCTGTGACCTGACTATGAAAAGCAGTAGAAGATGAAGATGAAGGATATAATGTGCATTTTTTTAAAGCAAATCTTTTTTTCTTTTACACTTTGAAAGCTATGCACCCTCAGCAGGGTCCTGGAGAGTGCATGGGAGTTCGCTCAACCAGTCTACATGTGTTTTGTGGACTTGGAGAAGGCGTTGGACAGTGTCCCTTGGGAACTCCTGTGGGGGGTACTCTGGGAGTATGGGGTACCAAGKTCCATTGATACGGGCTGTTAGGTCCCTGTACGACCAGTGCCAGAACTTGGTCCACATTGCCGGTAGTAAGTCGGACTCATTTCCAGTGAGAGTTGGACTAGGGTAGGGTGCCACCTCCAGGTCGAGGAGGAGGTCCTGCCCCAAGTGGAGAAGTTTAAGTATCTTGGGGTCTTGTTCACGAATGAAGGAAGAACGGAGCGGGAGATCGACAGGCGGATTGGTGCTGCGTCTGCAGTGATGCGGGCGCTGTACCGTTCATGGTGAAGTGGGAGCTGAGCTAGAAGGCGAAGCTCCTGATTTACCGGTTGGTCTATGTTCCTACCCTAATCTATGGTCACGAGGTTTGGATAGTGACTGAAAGAACGAGGTTGCGGATACAAGCGGCTGAAATGAGTTTCCTTCGCAGGGTGTCTGGGCTCTCTCTTTGAGATAGGGTGAGAAACTCAGTCATCCAGGAGGGACTACAGCTGCTGCTCCTCCACGTCAAGAGGAGCCAGTTGAGGTGGCTCGGCCTCTGGTTAGGATGCCTCCTGGACGCATCTCTGGTGAGGTGTTCCGGGCATGTCCCACTGGGAGGAGGCCCAGAGGAAGATCCAGGACACGCTAGAGGAACTATGTTTCTCCTAGAAACGTCTTGGGATTCCCTCAGATGAGCTGGCCAAGTGGCTGGGGAGAGGGAAGTCTGGGTCTCTCTACTTAGGCTGCTACCCCTGCGACCCGATCCCAGATAAGCGGAAGAAAACGGACGGACAGACTTTGAAAGTGTTTAAACAACAGTTCTTTATTGCCTTTATAAAATAAAAAAGGGATCATTTGATAAAAAAGTTTGTTTCCCAAGAATATTTAGTATTTTGACTTATTCTCCCACTGCTTCTCCTCTGAGAGAAGGTAAAATAATTTGTTTTAACAAAGCTGCTTTTTCTTATGACTGTCCATACAGTACATTAACCCAGTTCATAATTCTACACGATAACTTCCTGGGATGTTCATTTGTCACTTTGTCTAAAATAAATGCGTTTTCATTTTCCACTGACTAGATGACACAGTTAATATCTCAGTGACACATCTTTTAACACTTAAGAGTTCTGATCAAACTAGTGGAAAAAAAAAGTCATACAAGAAAGAGAAAAAAAAACTAAATGTGCTGCAACTAACTTTCTGCCTCGGGAGATGTAGTTAAAACAAAACTGAGTGCTGGGACTGAGGTTATTTCAACATCTGGCTGCCGCCCCCACATGATGAGACATCGCTTAAACTGTAAACAACTCTTGGTAAACAAACTCCCCTCTGTGAGGGAGACAAAGTGACAGAGATGGAGAGGTTGTAAGGTAGTGAAAATGCTAATCTTGCTGTCAAGTGGTTCWCTGTGATCCGACAAAGACTATAAAATATTGTTAAACCTTACAGGATTGACCTAATCACATTTCCTCTCTGAACATTCCACTGTTATTTTATTATCAAACCCAAGAAAAACAAAATGAACACTGGTAATGTTTTCTAAATTTTCCACTTACTGTTCAATTTCCACATAAATACTAGGGATGCACCAATATGAACATTTCAGCTGATATCAATATTAATATTGCTTTTATGGCTGATAACCGATATTTACCGATATTACAAAAATATAATTTATATTATAATTTAATTTAATACATACTAAAAACTACTACTCTGCTTCAGGTATTCCTTCAGGTATTCCCCATCCCAAAACAGAAACACAAAGCTAAAAAGTGGGAAATCAATATTGGACTTTAATATTGGCCCAGTTTACTCAGCGAACCAATATTCTCAATGACCAATATCGTCCGATACCAATGTTAATGTTGATATATCATGCATCCCTAATCAGATATCTTAAATTTATATTAAAGGTTCAGACAGTTCAAACAGTTTCATGCACACATCAAAATACGTAATAGGGTCTAACAGCTTTTTGCAACAATATTCAAATGGGAAACTTTTAAAAACTTAAAAAATCAACAAAACAACAGAACACAGTTCAAATTAAATAAAGACAAATAAAAAAAGAAAAAGAACAAAGAACAGTGACAGAGGTCACCAGTAAAACCATCTTACATCTTTACTTTTAATCAATATGTATGTTTGGTCAGAAATACTTATGAAAATTATGTTAACTTTTTTTAATCAATTGATTTCTCATGTTTGCTTACTCACCAAMAAAAATCTAGGACAAAATTAATCTTGTGGCTATGTAGGGAAAATGTACAGTATATTTTTCTCTCTGTTACATAGAGCGACCAGAGACCAACACAAATCTCCTCTTGCTGCCTAAAYATTAGAAACAGATCATAACAGAAAAATAGCAACATTGCAACACCTCAACTGAACTGACACAAACAGAGAACAAACATGCTGTACTGTGTGCACAGCTCAGCGTATAAACCTACAATATATAAAAAAACAGCACCATTTTTAGGAAATAGGTACATTCATCTAAATTCTATAGCAAAACCACATGAATCCACTATAATCCTCTGACACAATTTATGGGGATTTCACATGACACCATCTGGTAATTAATTTTAGTATTTCTTTCAATAAGACTACATGAATGAAAATCTGTGAAGGTGCGCCGAAGAAGAATATGACAGTGAATAAAACCATTAAAAACTGGCAATGTTCAGCTTTTATTTGATTTAACTCTATTTAGGTGCTAAAGAGAGTCTATGCTCCAGTTTGAGTAAAACAAATTTGCCAAAATCCCACAACTCACATAATTGTCAGCTTTCAGAAATGAAGCAAGCTTTATGAAACAAAAATAAATAAATAAAATTGTGGCGTGGAATCCAGCTGCATTGATGCTCCAAGTTGTTAACCAAATTCTTCTACTAAATTCAAAGTTGTTGTGTGTTATCATCATTCTTCTCTTCTGCAATTATTGTTTAGACTTTTAAACCCTGCAAACAGGAGGTCACGCGGAGTGCATCTCATCATTACATCACTCAACTGAGCTGCAAGGCTACTTCCCCTTTTTAAGTTGCTACTACCTCACTTGGCAACACATAAGCTCCCTCTCCATGGGCGTGTCTGTTTGCGGTTCTCTTTGGTTCAGCCTCGGCTAAATGTGTCTCCATTTTCGGTTCCAACTGCTTTCAGACGCAGAGGTGCRTCTGAAAGTGCTAAATGTGCTGCACTATTTCTTTTATATCATACAAAAATTGTTCATCCATCCATTATTTATACCCACTTCTTCCTTTCAGGGTCATATTTTCATAATAAACAAAATTAATTTAGACATTTTTACATACTTCATGAAAKAATGTGTTTACAAAATGATTAAACCTCAGGATGTTTGTTATTTTATTTTTAGCTCAATGGATAATTTTAGTTCAAGCAAAGGTGATCATAGGCTGAGCTCCTTATTTGCTGATGGACTATTGGACGGAACATGTTTGAGGGAAGCTTCAGAACCAATCAGAGATCCATGTGGGACCAGAGGACTTCCCCCTTGTTGATCAACCTATCAGATAAATGAACTGTGAACTAAAGCGGTAGTAATAAGCCATTCATTGTCTCTTTGTCTCTATGCATTCTGGGAGACACAAGGGACCCGCAGCTGTGAATTCCTTTCTTCAACTTCTCTGTAATAAACTTATTAACATTACTGAAGTGTTTGACCAGTCTCTCATGAAAATGAACACACTTCGATAGCGGTTTCAAACAGGTACAACCAGGTATTGCAAGCAAACGATTTAACATCAGCAGACTTCTGACTGTGGATTGGCTGAGTTGAGAACTTTCAAACTCCTCCAGCAAACTTTATGTGGAGAAAGGTGAAGGAGACGAGCGCAAACAGCTTGAGCTACAGGGAGCAGTGTGAAATAAGCAGAAAAAAAAGTTTGACTACCTGACGAGAAAACCACAACCTTTTTTTTTACACCACAACTTAAGCCGCGGGCTGACGATCCGCCCACAATCACGCCCACTGAGTGAGGGACAGACTACCACGGAGACATACACCTGAGCAGAACCGATCAGACATGAACTGAACAGAATTAAGACTTGACGATGGAGACGGGGCTAAAGGTGCAACAGCAGCAGACAGACTTTAACTTCCCATGACACCTTGGCAATCCAGAAAACATACTGAGATGGCCAGAAGGTGTCTAACTCTAAACTTGAAGTGTTTTCTGAAAGTGCTTAAAAACTCATGGAAAAGGTAAAAAAAAAAATCTTAAGCCACACGTGTGTACACAGAGGATGAAGTGCATGTTTGCATGTTCCAAAGTGTTTTCTTCATCAGCTTTCATTAGTTTAAAAATGTGAAGTGATTGGGACACTTGTCAGTGATTGGAGCAACACTCTTTTGCTTCTTATAACACAAAAGAAACATATATACAACAAACCAAATAGAGAAGAAAAAGTAAAAGACGGAAGGTCAGACACACAACGCACAAAACATGAACAAATCTCATGACAAAAAGAAAGCCCAGTAATGTATATCTAGGTTTTAAACACTTGGCTCTACTTGAGGCTATATAAGGGCTATATAAGTTAAATATTTTATTCTAGAACAGACAGGTTTCACTTTGCAATTTATAAGTAGGTGTAAATGTAGCTAATTTTATTCTACTGGTATTTTTCTACATTTCTCCTCAGGAAACATTGAGTATATTTATTTTCCAGAGGAGACGGTGTTTTATATCCATACACCCACATATCACACCAGGGATTTGCGATCGGTAAAATATAGTCAGACACCACTGACCTCTGAGCACCTTACTTCTTTAACACCTGAGGACTGAATGTCGGGCACTAAACATATTCAGAGGCTGCAAAGGAGGAGAGCTCAACTTATTTAATTTCCCCCAACGCTGCATGATTTGCTATTTATTTTATTAAAACCAGCAACAGTGAACAATACATTTCTTATCTAATTGACTTGCTGAAAAAGCAGCTGCAGTGATGGAATAGATCAATACAATAAAAAATCCTCTCAGTTGATTTAAGATAATTAGACAATGATCATTAGAAATATTCTGAAAATATAGCTCTTTCTTTTGTTTRTTTGTTCCATTTTTTTTTTCCTTTAAAAGTTTTAAGTCTACTTTGGCAGGTATTTATTAATCTGAGTGTTTTGCAGGATGTTGTATGAGTGAGTTTCTGTTAGTCTTGTATTGTTTGCTGTGGTCATCATAAGCTATGACCTGCTGTGTCAACCAGAGGACAACAGTCTGAGCAGCATTATGATGCATTTTATTCATCTAAGTAAACACAAAACTGATGTTATATATTTACAATGAAGTTTGTAGTGGTCAGCCTCATTTAGATTGGATCATTCTGGCTACACTTCAACAGTGGTGGAGAAATTACTCAAACTCTGTACTAAAAGTATAGATAAACAGACAAAGATGTACTCTAGTAAAACAACCACATAACATTTTTACTTGAGTAAAAATAAGTACTTGCTTTTAAAAATACTTAAAAGTACTTGCTCATGATGTGTGCCTATGTATGTATATTTTTTAACACATCATTGGTGAGCCATTTTAGTGAACTACAATGCAGATGATGCATGTTTTTGTGTTTACCCTCTGTGACACTGTTCACACTTGGACTTGTGATTCTGTGCATCATCGAAGATTGTGACAACAGTTACAGAAACTGTAAATTCACCACCAACCCCCCTCTATCAAATCTCCACGAGTCGTTTTTTTGAATGACGAACATGAGTGGCACATTTTGTTTAGCTGACTCTCTGTGTTGGAATCCATTTTGGGTGTGCTGGTGCTGCTGATGCTCCAACAGGTGATGCAGAATCGCCCCGCTCCTCTTGAAGGAGGGTCTAATGGTATTTTTCCTGCTTTGCAGTGGTTCAGTGGACCAATTATAGCAATTCCCCTCTCTCCATTGATTACTTTCAAACTAAAGAAGCAAATTAAAAAAAACGTAATGTGAAGTGAATGTAACTTGTAATGCAACGCTTTACAGAAATGTAGTGGAGTAAAAGTCGAAAGTATCCAAGATTATGGTAAATCTACTTAAGTAAAGTACAGATGCGTGAAAAATGTATTTAAGTTCAGTAACAATAAATAAATAAATAAAAGTTGATAAAATAAATTTTAAACACATGTATTGTTCAATACATAGTGTGTATTGAACCTAGAGCACTTTATTGACCGGTTTGCTATAGATACGGATGATATAGATGTATTGTTGCACCCCTAATATATATACAGTACATACATACATACATACATACATGCATACATTTTCTGTCTTTACAATAATACCCTTCACAATATTTATTGTGACATAAATGTCATAATTAAATTATGTCCAAGGATGTGTGCAGTGCAATTTACCTGCAACTTTCTCCTCTGTATTTCCTCCAACATGATACTCAGACACTTTGTGTAGTCTGTTAGATCTTGGTCAGCTGTTTCCATCAGTTTGCAACCCTATACATACACAAAACAAAAAATAAATAAATAAAAAAGTGCATGCAAGAGCAACAAAACACAATTTAATATTTATACAAATATCCCGATAGAGAAACAAATACCCTGGGAGAGATAAGGAATAGCAGAGCCAAAAAAAAAAAAAAAAGAGAGGATGGAAGCATGGATAGAGGTATAAATCAGAGTTTTAGTGCTGTCTGGCTTCCTGTGGGTTGTGTTGTTGAATAATGTAGAGGTTCCAGTCAGTGGCCTTAAACTACAACATCTAGGTAAACAACTATGCTCTGGCATTTTTCCCCCTCCTATCTCTTTCTCTCTCCACTGTTTCATTTTGCTCCTGTGTCGCGCTGACTTTCTCATATCACTGACACGCACATGCAGCGCAGAGAGTTCACACAAACTTGTTCGCTGTGCTCGGTTTGATCGCATCCATCCACCCTCCGCTTCCATCCTCTTTCCATCCTTGCCTCCCTTTGTCTCTCTTCCTCCCCCCTCCCTCCCTCATGGATGCTTTTCTGTTCTCTCCCTTTTCCATTTATACAGAATTATTCACCGTTTCAGGCAAATCTCGAAGGAACGCCTCAAACTTTCCAATTGTTCTGCTTCAAAAGCATTACCATAACAGTCTGTTCTCTCTCAAGGAAAAAGCTTGCTTTTTCTTTTTTTCTTTCCTTTTTTCAGTCAACCTGTGTGATATTTGTAAAAAGGGTCTAGTATTAGAGATAGCTACAGAGAGAGTGGGGGGATTGGGTAAAAGGAAGAAAAAAAAAGTGACACACCTGAATGCCTCCCAGTGTCTGTGATGTGTGCGCGTGAGTACCGGTATGTGAACATGTGCAGGTGGTGGTGTGCATGCATAATAAAGTTTCAGATGTGGTGGCCGTAATAAACAAAATCACACTGCAGAAGGATCACACTTTTTATTTCTTTTCCACTGAGGTATGTGTACATATGTGTGCTTTAATCACTGATTTCCCCAAAATTAAATAAGTATTGAATATGAATTTATTATTATTATTATTATTAATATTAATTAATTAATATATTTATTGAATCAAGCTTGTAGTTGGAACTATAGAACAACCCCTTCATAGATTATTAAACACTTAGTTTTGTTGATGAACACTTTGATGTTGATTTGCTGAACGTGCCGTACAGCCATGCTGTGAGGATTTATAAACCTGGAGATACATTTGAGAGCATTTATASCTGACAGTTAAATGCGTGCCCCAAAACCTTTTTTTTATGCTTATGTGTGGTCCTGTTAGTACATTAAGGATCAGGACAAATTGTGTTTGGACTACCAAATGGTTACGAACAAAAACGGTCCACCTCCAACCACCAAGAAGATCCACATTGAGGCTGTTCAGAAATGAATTTTATGCTTTCAAAATGCAGTCAGATAGTTGAAGACACATTAAGCAACCAGCTCTAAAGAAAGTCTATGATTTGTTCCATTTGATGTTAAACCTTTGTGTTTGTTGTTTTTTTCTGGCACGTTTTTTTTTTACATAAATAATTATCTTGCTGTTACATATTTAGGATTTTACCACACAGGGAAAGGACGTAACTTCTATCTAAAATGTACAATCAGTCCATATGTTTGTTTAACTTTGAGCTTTAAGGTAACAGTAAACTGAAACGAAGAAAATTTTCCACAGGGGTTCCCAAACTTATCCAATCCAAGACCCCCCAAACATCATTAGTGTTTGGTTGGGGACCTCCTTGCAAACCCATAATTAATGCTAAATATATAAAGAAACCTCAACTTTTACAATGCTTTTTCCACTTTTATTCACTATTCAATAATTATTAAATTTGTTTAGCATAAGAAAAGTATGACGTTTTAAACACTGTCTTACATCCCCACATAAAAACAACTTTTCAACAAACTGTTGATGATAAAAACAAAATAATAATAAAACCTCTCTGAAGTTCTCTTAATGAACATTGCAATAAATTATTATAATTTCCATTTTAAATTTTTGTTAAAAAACAGATTAGACTTTATGAAAATTATTTAAAACATTTATTTGATTATGATTACTATGTTTGATTGTAGGTTTATTATCATTATTATTATTTTTGTATATTTTTTTCTTATCTTACTTCCGGCTTTCTGAGCCCAACCCCCAGTACCTCCACTTTGATAAGCCCTGCTTTACTGAAAATTACTATGTAAAAAATAAAAAAATAAAATAAAATTAAAATATTGTGTTGGCAAAAAAGGAAACAATTTTTAAAAATCCTTCTTTTAAAATGAACCTTAAGAAGAATCAACTACTTACTAAAGTTGTGTATATGCCAAGGTCACTAATCAGTACAGCTTCAGAAAGTGTTCTAAGATTGAAACAGGCAGAAATCCTTTGTTCAGAGTGTTAAATTTATGCAGGACAAAAGTCACATTACTTCTGAGTGTACTGCTGTGTGTGTGGAGGACGTTTTTCTCACTCACCTTGTCTACATAGAACGCTTTGACCTCAGGAGTAATGGAATCAAAATCCCCACTGATATAGTCAGGAAGAAAGCTGGATGTAAGGACAGAAAGAGATGGTGAGTGACAGAGGGAGAGGGTTAAGATCCAAAGAGGGAGCAAGGTAGCGATAGAGGAAAGAAGGGGAGAGACGACATCGGGGCATGTGTCAGCTCTTTGATCTGTGCRGCGAGGGAGAGGAGTGACGGCGCCGGGGAAGACGCAGAGACACAAAAACTGACAGGGTGATTCTCAGTGGCGCTGAGCCCGGCCCCTCACACTCACAGGGCTGACAGCAGATATACACAGATTGATGGGAAAGCACAGCAAAGCAAACTTGGTGGCACACAGAAGTAAAAGTTTGTGTATATGCTCTTAYAATTAGGGTACATACTGCCTGATAAGCTCAAACTCATCAACACTAAATAATTACAGGCTCWGGGGCAAATTTGCTCATTAGCCACAAACATTGTAATAAACAGATCACAGTCTTATGGTTTCTCTCTTACACACATGCAAACAAACCCAGCATGACTTACCTGGTTTTGATTAGATTTYAACCTCAATTAAGTCTTTTCTACCAAAGCAAAATATCCATCTGATCACTAGGGGTGTAAGAAATATCGATACACTGAAATATTGCAATATTTCATTTCCCGATACTGTATCGATATTCTAAAGCCCTGTATCAAGTTTTTATTAAGGTTTAAAATGTCAACTTTCCTGCCAGCCATTCATTTTTATGTTGTAGTTCAGCCTCTGACCACTAGCTGGCAGCAGTGAGCCAGCCATTTGGCTCCTCTACCTCTTGAGCGCCACAGAGTAAGAGAGCATTAGCATTGTAAGTAAACATTAGCTTCATGCTCCGATAGCTGAATCTGAGCAGAAAAGACCGACACCCTCTGCCTTCTAAGCTGAGGTAAGGTTACAAACAGTTACTTATTTGTCAGAATGTCTGTATTTTAAGCCAAATTAAGTGTCTTGTGCGCTCTTTTTTCCAACTGTAGTCAGCTTTCACGTTACGCATATAGTGCATGCGTCTATCACCTTGAGCGAGCTCGGCACTCCCCCCGTGACATAAAACTCTGTCTGTTGCTCTCAATGTCCGGCTCATCGCATCAAAGTCCATATACTTTATCCTGTTGTGTTCGCTTCAAAAATGGTTTAACTCGTTTAACTTCTCAATTTCTTAACTGGTTTTCTTCGGGACTTGCCCTGCTGTTTGACCCACAGTTATACAAATCAGGTTCTGGATGCAGGTCAGCTGATCCCAGAAATGGAAATATTATAGAGATGGTTCACACATATAAATATCTTGGGTTCTTGATTGATGACTCCCTCAGTTTTAAGCCTCACATTCAAAATCTTGTGAAGAAACTTAAACTTAAGCTGGGCTTCTTTTTTCGAAATAAAATAAATTTTTCTTTTACAGTTAAAAGGCGGCTTGTCACCGCTACATTTTTATCCATTTTAGATTATGGAGACTTGTTATATATGAATGCCTCAGCACAATGTCTTAAAAAAATTGATGCTGTCTATCATGCTTCTCTGAGGTTTGTTACTAATTGCAAAGCCTCGACTCATCATTGTGAGCTGTACACTCGAGTGGGATGGCCTTCTTTGTCCACCAGGAGGTTGGGACATTGGTACACTTTTATTTATAAGGCTTTGCTTGGGCAGCTACCATCTTACATCTGTGACCTAATCACACGAAAAAGAGTTGATTCACACTCCTTGCGTTCAGATGATTATTTCTTGCTTTCTGTTCCATTTCTCTGTACAGAATTTGGGAAAAGGGCCTTTGTTTACTCTGCCCCATCAACTTGGAACATGTTGCAAAAAGTCTGGAAGTTAACAGAATTGATCCCATTGAGCACCTTTAAGTCCAGATTGAGGGCATTAGAGACTACGTCTTTGAACTGTCAATGTTTTTATTAGTGATTGTTTGTGTTGTGTTTTAATTGTGTAATTTTTATGTAAATGTATACTTTTTGCTGCCTCTTGGCCAGGACTCCCTTGAAAAAGAGGTTCTTAATCTCAATGGGACTTTCCTGGTTAAATAAAGGAAATAATATTAATAAAAAACTCTGTGTGCAGCAGCTTCATATCATCTGTTTACTGAACTTTATGACAACATAAAGGCTATTGTTAAGTGTTGGGTGACCATATTGTAAATTAATATTAAAAATGAAAAGCTGCAAAAATATATTTTCAAACTATTTATTGGCAAATTTAGTCTAATAATTGAAAACATGGATGAAATATGAAACGAATAAAATAAAACACATACAAAGCAGAACACAGCTAAATGTATCAAAAGTATGTCTATGTAATATTCTGAGACAATGAATTTTGGTTTCTTGTTTGTTTGTTTTTTTTTTTTCCAGTAAGAGGTTTTTATTTAATAGAATTTTTGGACCATAAATATCTCAATATATCACCTTGTTTACAGTATCGAAATATATCGGAATATATCGTATCGTGACCCCTCAGTCGTGATATGTTTCGTATCGCCAAATTCTTACCAATACACAGCCCTACTGATCACTACAGTTAATGTTATAAATGCCCTCAAAAATAAGAGAATTCAAGCAAAACAAAATGTTGAGTGTAAATTTTAGAAAAACGTGCATAATCCAATAATTAAGATTTGATAATTACAAAGATTGTGATTTAATATAAAAACACAAACATTCACTGGTAATCATATTGGTCATTCTAAAAATAACAGATTTTCTTAAAGAATAGAGTGCTCTTATAAGAGTACGCCAATAAGTTTGACATTTAAAGCATTCAGTAYCAACAGCCTTTTTGACCATGTAAGCATGAAATTAATGCATGTGAAGTACTGCGGTTGCAAATGAAAGACATCTTAAATTGCTAATTCTATTTTCAGATTTACAAAATGATTGCAAATTCAAACGTGATTCATTAAAAAGAAATTCCTGCAGTTTTTCAAGAATGCACTCATTCTCTGTGTGTTTGTATTTGTGAAATATTTAAAAATATTGATAGGAATAAATATGCAAATGGGATCATATTGAACAAACAAATCAAAAACCAAGGCAACAGCAAAACAGCTACAATGTACTATAAATGCCTACAACACTGTAAAAGGACTTTTATTTGGAACTGACAGACTGTTAAATGTTAGCTGAAATAGGGCACAGGAATTTTCCCAAAAGAATCCGCATAAATAAAGTAGGACTTAGTGAATTAACTTGTATCTTTTTATTCATTTTCATTTTTAAACAAGTCCTACTTTCCAACAGTTTATTACTCACTGAACAAAGAACTTTCCCACAGAAAACAGGCACACAACACGAGCGGCCTGGAAACAAAAAAGCCCCTCCCCCCTAGTCTAGATCCGAAAACCACAAGACGGCAGGCTGTCTGGGACGAAAGAAATTCTAGTGGGATATTAGTATCATTTATTATACAGCCAGGCCATTGAGGGTTTTCTACTGAATTAAAAAGGGCTTGAAAATTTTATTCTACATTTCACAAGAAGTCAGTGAAAAGAAGCAAAAACAGGAGAAGTGTGGCCTCTTGGTGGTAATAGAGAGTACTTGGGGTACAGCAACAGGAGAAGTGTGGCCTCTTGGTGGTAATAGAGAGTACTTGGGGTACAGCATTTTAAATCAACTTAAATATATCCAAGGGTTTGTAAGAGCCCCGGGTAAAAATTTACAAAGTGTAGACATAGAGTCATGAAGCAGTTTTTACAGCTTATGTAGACAAGATGCTCCTGATTTAGGGGATAATGTACAGATAAAGCAACTCCTGACATTGATGTATGTAAAATAGAAGACTTTGGTCAAAGATAACTCCAAATAAATCACAGTAGTACTAAAGACCAGGGACATGCCATCCAAAGTACCTATGCGGTTAGAAAAATATTAAGTTTTATTTTGCCAAAAATGACACATTTCAGTTTTACCTGATTTCGAAAAGAATTATCGAGGTCTGTCTGTTTGTCCTAARAGCAAACTCTCAGCTTCAATACACAAGTATGTTTTACAGATTACATTAGTAAACAAAAGTTGGGGCCAACATTACTTGTATATATGCACGGATATACTATATATATGCATACAGTTTTTGTTTTGGCATAAAAACTACCAAATGAAGCACATATATAAAGAAAACAATGACGGTCCAAGTTCAGAACTTTGCTAAATTAGTTTTCTCTTTAATAAAGCAAACTGTGCAGAGAGTTTAAGAATCTTATTGCTTTCAGGCTTTGCATTGTTTWAATGCACTTTCTATCCATTGTGTGTGCACTCAGTCTGGGCACTTATTTTATTTCTACAATATCCACTATTTTGGTTTTAARCATATTAAAAAGAATAAAAAGAGATAAAAAACATACTGAGTAGAGATTTTGGTCAAAGGAGGTTAATAAACTGTTTTTTTTAAGAGTTTGTGTAAGTTCTTGGGAAAGGATAGGGCCATGCACGGATGCAGTTGCTGCTATCTAGAGGCATTAATGGGTCTGACATTATGATTTTATGGGTGGCTGGGTATCGCGTTTGTGTGCATTTGTTTGTGTGTGCGCGCTCTCCTGCAAGCTGCAAGAGCTATGTTCCGGTCGKTTGAAGAAAGAGATACATAGGGATTATTCTCTCCTCTCCTATTCTGCGTTCCCATTTGCACCAACAAGATACACCAAGACAAACACAACAGGAATTGGATCTAATCAGCAGGTGCACACACATGTGCACAAACACCACAATCATAGTTAAAGAAACAACACCTCCACCTGAGCTGGACCAAAAAATAAAAATAAAAAATAAAAAACGTGATGAAGCTGCAAATTCTTCTTGTTCTCACACACACACACACACACACACACACACACACACACACACACACACACACACACACACACACNCACACACACACACACACACACACACACACACACACACACACACACACACACACACACACACACACACAGGGAGCATTTTGCTCTCTATTTATATAACAGGACACCACAATTGCATCTTCATTCAGAAATAACCTTCATGTGACAGATGGGAGGCGATGTGT